TAACATTTACACATTTCTCAGGTACAGCTTTCCTGAGTAGACAGTCCCAAAGTGCAAGTCTACCACCGAATCGAATGCACCTTTGATATCGAGGAACACGACAACGATGGGCCGCCAATATATGTGACGGTGCTCCAACAACTGACGCAAAGTGAAGATGTGGTCAGTGCAGCCACGACCATGAGGAATTCCGGATTGCTCTTCACGAATCTGGCTTTCACGAGTGCCAGTCAGTCTGTGAAGGATGACAGAGGCAAGCAATTTAGAGGCGATGCAGGTCAGACTGATTCCTCTACGGTTGCCGCATTTCGATCATGAGCCTCCCTTGAAAATTGGGACTATGACGGAGCGGCTGCAGTCGGTTGCGACAGTTTTCTGCTCCCACAGTTTCACTAGTATTTCATATAAATCATCCACAAGAGCAGGTCCCCCGAATTTGAAAAGAGCTGGAAGAAGATCATCTGGTCCCGCGGCTATATTTAACTTCAACAGAGCGATCTCACGTTTGGCTTCTGAGCGAGAGGGTGGATCCAAAGGTACAGCCCACGGAGCGGGTCGATCGGTAGCCGGCGAGAAATCGAACAATTCCGGCCGATTAAATTGCGTTTCGAAGTGCTCAGCCCAACGCTCCAATCGTTGGACCGCAGGCAACGGTTTTGAGGACAAACAGTCGGCACATTTCGTAAGTACGAGCAGGCCAAGTTTTGCTACCGTACAACAGCACAGCGCGGACCGTCGCACAATAAACCCACCTTTTGATGGATAGCCAGGTGTCATGGTGGTGCCACAAGTGCCTCGTTTTTAAAGCCAAGATGAGCTTTTGAGATAAGCATCGGAATCTCATCTCCACCAGCAGTTATGGAACTTCCTAAATCGACCTAACTCTTCTTAACCTTCATTGTATCGTCACCTTAGAGTCATAGAAGGTATAGGCATCTGCCAATCTTCAGAAAGTTTTTTGCACTTGTACTGTGAAAAGTGCATGCCATACTTCGACGCTTCCATTTCCAGGCGGTTAATTACGAGCTGTACGGCCAGCTTACTGCCACCCAGCAAGACGATATAATCATTGTAATCTAAGTCAATAACTCGACTACTCGTCGGAGCTCAACGTCAGCTCTTAATGAATGTTCCGGAGGATTTTTGTGGACATCCTCAATGGCAAAATTGATAAGAAATGAGGAGGTAGGGCATCCTTGTCGAACTCCACTGTTGACAACAAAAGAAAGCGAAAGCTTGCCATGAGCTATAACTCTTCCTGTAGTCATACCGTACATAGCACGCATTAGGGAAACAAACTTCTCGGGGACGCCATTCCTCAACAGACAGTGCCACAATGCAGTCATGTGTGCGGAATCCTAGATCTTCGGTATGCCGGGTTTTTGCCAGATTTCCTCGTGAGAGGGAGGATCTATGGAGACCACTCAGCACCAATGATCCCTCCGGAGGAAGCACATGGAGCTGATGGCCAGGAAAATTGCGAGCGAAAGTGTTCAGCCCATCGTTATAGCCCTCGATGTAGATTAGTACTCAGTGAGCCATCCTCTTCGCAGATTGTTTCGCTCACACTATACCATTTCCCGGCCGAGTTGTCCTCGGGCAACAGAAATAATCTGAGGGGGCATTCCACATGAGTCTACTCAATTAATTTGTTCCGTGCGTACGCCAGTCAGGTGTGTAGGTGTGCGTGTATAGCCCGTCGCCTTCAGCCAATTGGACCTCAGACACACTAAGTCATAGGGGTGCAGGTGGGACGCTTCAGCTCCTACGCACGGATCAAATTAACTGAGTAGGCTCATGTTGAATGCCCCCTCAGATTATTTCTGTTGCCCAAGAGGACAACTTGGCCGTGAAATGGTGTAGACTGGAAACCTTCAGTGACTAGGATAAGATGGAGACGTTTTTTGGTATTACCAGAAAGGCTTACGAGTTACATCTCACTCGCACATTCACATCACTAGATTTCAAGATCCTTCTGCAAACGTCTGCGCAATTCTCGATCCGGGGACCGGCATTGTTCACTACAGCTAACATCGGCCGGGACCGAGCGGCGTCTGTCCATCAGCGACATGGAGACAGCAGTGATCCAGCTGGTGATGGGTGACTCCGCAACTATCAATACTGCCAGAAACTAAATCATTTTTTAAAATTTGCATCCACTTTGAATTCAGAGTATCATCAGAAGCTGGGCCAAGCATTGTTGACAGGGTGGCCTGGTGTTTCGCTAACGTCGTAGCATCATGTAGGTTTTTTACGCTCGATCGATCGTGCGTTCGCCTAGACGGTCCTCCGAAACGCATGCACAAATTAGCGCGAACCAAGGCGTGGTCGGAGTCCGGACAAATTGACCAGTACGAACGGCAGTCTGGTACTCTCCCGCGCCATCTGTAGCTTATCGCTATATTGTCAAGCTGGGACCACTCTTGCGTTTGAGAAGTCAAGCGTCAGGTAGCATTCTGTCTCTTCTAGTGTCGTAAACTGGTGCTCGCAGGAAAAAATTGATGATCAGAACAAATAGTCAGTTGCATGTCCCCGTTGCCCGATTGATTACTACCGAGACCAAAACTACCCCCAAGATGGTGCTCGCTTGGTGACAGACGACACATTTGGACTTTAATATCTCCTGCAAGGATGACAATATCATACTTTTTGGAGGAGCGCAGAAGGTCATCTAATTGTTGGTAAAAGCAATGCTTGACTGCATCCGGGATGCAGTTTGTAAAAGCGTAGGCGGATACGACCAATAAGCCCCGCTTCACATCTCAACGCCTATTTAACATGAACCTCGTAGTCGGACAGCACACACCTGACTGATGACTGCGCTCCAGTCAAGCAGAGTGGTCTCAGCCCGTCATTCAGTGCAACCCAAACACCAGCCTGGCCAGAAGCAGCAGCTTTGGAGACCCCTGGAATGTGCAAATGCTGTTTGACTTCAGGGTTTGTCGGTAGTGGAGTCTTGCAATCTGGTTTCTGATAGGCAACAGATGGATACCTAGACCGTCTCGAGGGTTCGGGCTAGGCAAGCTTGCTGTCCGATCTGCATCCAAGTGCAACATTGAGTGCTGCGAAGCCGATTAGAGGACCAGCTCGATGAATAGCTGGAGCCTCATTGGAGTTTGAGAATGTTGTGCTTGCTCGTTGCTGTGGCCTGCAAGGTCGTAACTGTTGTTGAAGTACGGGACCTGAGACGATCTGTGGGTGGTGGTTGTGCAATCTTCTAACTGGTCTAACTTCCAAATTGCTTACGTGGTGCTGCCACCACACACGGGCAATGGACCGCAGGCAGTAGTGCTCGAAGACGGATAGCCTGCGCAAGTCACCTTTACGAATGGGCCAGGTCTCGCATCCGTACAACAGTACAGCACGAACGGTTGCACAATGGACCCGCCCTTTGATGGAGAGACGAATGTCGTGGCGACGCCACAAATGCCTCAGCCTAGAAAAAGCGAGGCCTGCTCTCGAGATGCGCATCGAAATCTCGTCTCCAACAGCCCCGCCAGCAGTGATGCAACTTCCCAAGTAGACAAAGCTCTCCATAACCTCTAGTGTCTCACCAGCAAAAGTAAGTGCAGGCAGAGGCACCTGCCAGTCTTGAAAGAGAGCCTTGCATTTGGATGGCGAAAAGTACATACCGTACTTTGATGCTTCAATCGCCAAGCGGTTTAATGCAAGTTGGACGACGTGTGGATCGTCACCCAGCAAGACGATATCATCAGCATAATCCAAATAAACAACTCGACTAACTAGGAAGAGCTCAACGCCAGCGTTCAACGAATCGCTCAGAGCGTTCTTCAGGACATCCTCAATGGCGTTTTGTTGATTCGCGACGTCCGATCGGTAGTGGGCGCGCTTAGGTGATCCTCCGAAACGCATGCAAATCTTAGCAGTGACTTTATGTAGTGGCCAGTCACATCCGCCACGTCACAGTGTTGTTATCGGACATTTACGGCTTTTTATAGAGAACGCTTACCATGCGAAAACTCACCACTTCCTGGAACACTGCCGCCGAACTATTTGCCTTAACAGGTTAAACTCGAACCACTCAACTGGCACCACGGGGAGATTGTTCGGCTAGCCAGCAATGCACTGACGTCCCTCTGGGTTTCACCTTTTCGCCGAGCTTGGTACTTGGTTTGCAAACGTTTCGTCACCAAACGAGGTGACTTCTTCAGTACGCTATTGGGTTAAATGCAGTACACTGATTTGATCGTCGATTTGTGACTGATCTGCAAGTGACTTTTGAATTGACCTTGATCTATGCCACGTGATCGTAACTCATTTGCCCAAGGTTTTTGGTAGACACGGACCATCCGTGAGATAGTTTTGCTCTGACTGTTGAGGTTGTGTTGTTGAATGCTCGTTCGGCTGCCCACGACGGTTTTAAACTGTTTTAGTTTCCTCCATCTTATTGTTTAGTGAACTGGGTTAATCTCGATGCGCATGTTTCTCGAGTGTTTCTTCGAGTGCCATCCTACGACAAAACCTCATCTTTTTCGTGTCTCTCATTGTGCTAGGACCTATGTGTTGTTCTAATTAAAGTGATATCGTTCGTCCGTATATAATGAAACCAGGGAGAGATCGAAGTGATTCTTACAAGCTCTCTTATGCTTTAGTAGAGAGTCGCCCTTTGTTACCCGCATAGTTCCCATAGCATTATTGACACCGTACCTTGTAAACACCATAAAGGTTTTTTGCAAGGTCCTCATTCTTTGCCTCCTATTATTCTTCATTCCTTAGGTCACTGTGGTTGTACGGCAGCGAAGCATCAGTCCACTTGGCTGATGTAATGCTGCTGCTGATGATTTCTTCAGTTTCCGTATGTTGTCTCTTAAGGATGTTGTCTTCGTGTTCCTGCAGACTATCGTGACACGTTCGAGTTAGTGTATGAAACTATCTGTCTTTACGACTCATCTTGCTCGTCGGTTCCGCCGGCCGTTGGTTTTACGGGGACTTTCAAAGCTATTTAATGATGCTTGTTTTTCTTTCTTCTTTTTTTCTAGGCGCCTTCGCTCCATGCCAGGACGGGCAAGAGCGGGTTCTTTGTCACTCTCTTCCTACGCGACAGTTCTATTCAACGAAGGTGATGACTCAGCGGTTACATCTTTGGGTGAACGCGCCACCGTTCTCTGCGCCACTGATCAACGGCACATTCTGCAGGACCTTAATCGTGTCAAGTTATTGTTATTGAAGCTACGGCGTCTTTTAACAGAGGTACTCCGCGAGTTCCCATCACCACCATATTTTCTTCGTGATCGCGGCGTATGTTTTGTTTTCACTATTGGCTGTCGGAGTCTGCCCGTGAAGGGCACCACCTCTCTGAAAATCTCTTTCTATTGTCTCTCGACAATCCTTGCAAACTGATGTGCTTCTGGCTTCATCTAGACTGTCATCACTTACTTCCCATGCTGGATATCGTATTTTGCCGTGCAAACATAGGTACAGTGACTGTGTAATCTCTGTTGTTGCTGCTGCTGCTGCTGTACTGCCAGCCTTTTCTCATCTCAGCTACCACTTGGCAGTTGATGTCTTTCACAGGCCATTATTGCACCACTGAACTTCTTAACTGCACCGTTTCAGGGTGTGGTCTTCAGCTACGGACCGATTGCAGTGCAGCGGAAACAAGTGGCATCCGATTTTGTGCCCGGGGACCGATGACATGTCATTAACGATAGAATGCGAAAACTTAGAAGTCGAATTTTCAATTTATTGTGGTTCTGCTTCCTTTGTTTGTTTTATGTGTGACGTCATTAAAATGGGTGAGCTGAATCTCCTAACTGCATTTACAAGCATCAGTTCAAATAGCTGATATACTGCTGTTGATGATGATGATGATGGCAAACATCCTTCTATGCATTTTCTTGTCCAACGCGTCTTGTTGCACATGGGCACATATTTTCGAAGTTAATCCCTTCAAAATCTCTTGTATACCGATTTTCCCATCTTCATCCGCGATTTTCTCATGCTGAGTTGTCGGTGATGATATGTTGCCTCAATTGTTCTTTGATTTGATTCCATTTACCCTCTGCCTGCATGTTGTGGCGTTTCAGTTTGGACTCGTGTAGTCTGTCCACCGGCATCCTCTTCTGTAATGGCGTTCTAGAGTTTTTTAATCTTCTCTTTTTATCTTTCCTTTCCAGGACCAATGGCACTTACCTGTGTTTACCAAGCAGCTTTCTATGACCGAACCGATTCGAGTAAGCATGCTCTCAGTTTATGTCCAGTCTATTCGTGAGTTTGTAGCTTCCGGAATGCGCCCGCTCGCCTCTCTTTGCTACGTGCCGTTACCTCACAGTGTTCTTCAAGCCCACCGGAGTAATTGTACGCCCTTGCATTCTGGGTATCTTTGAAGAGCGTGCTTCCGAGTTCATGGTTGTTGCAGTACACCAGCTGCTGTTGCATTTTGTTTCTGCTAGCTGTGTGTTCGTTTTCTGCGTCTTTTAACCATTTCGATTCGCATACCTTGTTTGTTTTAATCGGAATTCGTTGACCAGCGGTACAGTTTACTAGAAACTTGGGTAAATGTGTTTAAAGTAGTTTACCTCAGTTCAGCCTAAAAACAGTGTTCCGAGCACTGGAACGTGGTGAACTCGGTTGCCTTCATTCGAGGCATTATAACTGTGCCAGACTGGCAGGCGGAAAATCAAACGGGTTATAGAGTATGGCTTTAAACGTATTAGGCCGGAAAGTTATGATTAATAACATGTTCTCATCCGCCAACCGCTGTTACAACGCAGATCAGCTAGAATACGTGTTTCTCGCATTGGAAAACTACATTGACGGTCAGTGGCCGTATAGTTAGAGCTTCTGGTTTATACTCGCTTCCAGTCGCAACTAGATTGCATCTTAACCTGGTACGACTGTTTGTGTACCTCTTCAACCTATCCAACTATACTGGGTGGTATCCTCGGGCCCCTTGTGAGCTACTCCTACCAGATTGGTCAGTGGTTAGTGGTCAGACGAACTCAGTCTCCTGATCTTCCAGGTTGGGGGTTTGAAATGGGATGGCGCCTATTGCTGTAAAACTAAATCATTGCCACCTCTCTGCTGCACCGTTGACAGACTTTAGAGCCAAAGCCTTTAGTTGAGCACCGTAATCGTCCTCCTGTCTAGGTCTGGGCGTTTTGGGAGTGTCTCACCCCATGTACAACCATGACTATTCCATTAAAATTCAACCACACCTTCCATCGACTGTCATGCAGGTATTAAAGTGTCGCCTAATCAACTATCTACGACAGAGCGGATAAGCGAAAACATGCTACTGCTGGCATCCCCACTTTTTCTTTTCCATCCGTTTCTCTTTTTCCCATCCCGACCCTCATTAACAACCCACCTATAATTCCCAGTCTGAGTGACAGTAGTCTCAATGCTACTCAGTTCTACCGTCTGAAGCTATCTTCTTGCATCATCCACTGGACGCCTGGCAGCAACAGTACCTTATAAGGCCAGGCTGTCCCGATTCACTGACGTTGTTCAGCGTTCGAATTTTCAATAAATAGGTGAACGGGCTGCACTCGGATTCACTTTGGACACTCGGGCTATTGACATGTGTTGTGCTTCCGAAACTTAGATCAATGATCCTCATGTGGTTGTTGAACTAATTTCATCCGACTTATCCTCCCGCTATTGGTTGCACGCACCCAAATACGATGATGCGGCAAGCGCTGGCGGAGCAGGAGTGGGCATCGTTCTCAGCTCCTAGTCTGGGTCATCAATGGTTGATTGGATTCTTATGAACAGCCTTTTTCAAGCAGTCGATTTGACGACATCAACTAAGGTCAATTTACTGCGTATAACTCGACTCTGTTTGCGGTTTCCACTTATGCCTCACTGACTGCAGTTCTGATGCCACGAAATGTACGCACTGCTTCGCAGTGTTATTAGGTCAGATATGAATGTTTATGGGGATATGGATGCACAACTAAGTCGCCTGGACTCTTCGGAGGCCCAACTTACCCCCAACGGACTTACAACAGCGGGCGTCTGTTGCAACTGTGCGCTGAATTCCGGCTGTTTCTTAGTAGCACCGGTTATAGACACTGTGTGTGCCGAACTGCCACATAGCGTCTCTCTATGGCTTGCCAGCGATAGACCATAATGGATCACTTTGCCATAAGTTACAGGTACTTCCATCTTGGATAGTTGTCTAGTCTGAAATACTTGCGTCGACTCTAATAATTCCATGGTACCTTGTCGTTTTTCCATGACCTATACCGGGAGGCGCAATAAGATACCGCACCTATCAGTTACTGAGTGATTATCTCTGTCTTCGCTCAGGGGAGCCTACCATGATGCTCATCGTGTCTAATTTTTGCTCTCGGCCGCCATGCACAGTGCGGGAGCCCCTGCCTGCGGCGCGATCATTCACGACCGCACCAGTCATTGGATATCCGGGAGGTCCGTGAGCCTGTTGGAATCCTGATGATAACTCCCGGCTGGCTCTAAGCACAATGTGACCAGACGGAATAGTAAGTGGGAACTAAAGGGGAGCCTTCTTGCAGAAATGAAGCTTGATAGTCTAGTAAGGCTAAGAAATGGAAGAGGTGGGGCAATAGACCATTGTCTTAAGTTCTTCCAACTGATCCGCACCACTGGCCTCAGGAAATCAGTTGTCGTTGAGACAATCAGAGTCAGCGCGGATTCCCTGATTCGCAGAAATGAGCGTCGACTGGCTCGTTGTCCGATCTCTTTTGAGAGTATTTCAGTTGGCCCCATGCTTTTGACCCATCCCTACTCAGTGGTTGCACGCTGCGTCATTGCCGGTTTGTTTGGAGTCTCCATCAGAGGCTGGGGTCCGAAACGCGATCACACCACTTATTTGTTTTCGAGATGCTTGCTTGGGTTCCTTTGCACCCCCAATACGGGGGCAATGCAATAAGTTTGCGGATACGCAGTACACTGATTTGGTACAGATGATCTGGCAATGAAAATGTTAATTGTAATCTACTCTGAACATTCTTCTGTGATTTCAACTCACAGAACCCCATCTCGGCAGCTCAGCGCCGCAGTTATCTCTACCGACTTTCTATTCATGGTCTGACTGTAATTATGTATCTCAGTCATTAGAATACGGTTATTTTTTATGACTGCATGATGGTTTAAAGGAACATCAGATGTTTGGGTGATCGCGTGCTGCGTTTGGTGGTGATGCGCCTTCCTGGACCTTCGTGTTTGAGCGATTTTCGGAATTTACGTGTGGCAGGTGTTCCCTATAGGATTAGGCACGGTGTGATCGACCTATGAAAGTCACCACCGCGGACAACATTATTGCTGTGCAACGAAGCTGGAAGAAGACGCGTGGGTGACTATAACACTTCTGGGGAAAGCCATCGAGATCAGTCGGCACCATCCTACAGGAGAACCTCGGTCTCGGAAATGTTTGCGCTCGCTGGATACCCCACCAGCTCAGTGAGGACCAGAAAGCAGCTCGGGGGAATTGGTGCCGCACCATACTTGTCAGGTTTGATGATGGATGTTCCAATGCTGTTAAGGAAATCCTCGGTGGTAATGAGACCTGAGTGCACAGTTTCGACTCAGAGGCTAAACAAGAAACAGCTCAGTGGACGGCCTTTGTTGGGGCGCCGCCTCTGAAATTCCGTCGTGAGCGTAGTGTGGTCAAGCGGATGGTATCTGTGTTCGTGACAAAGACCGGTCATATGGCTACTGTACCGCTCGTACTGCAACACACATTCACCGGAGACTGGTATGCCACACACAATCCGTCTCAAGTACTGGAAGCTGTAGCCAGGCGTCGTCCAAGGACTCGAACACGAGGGACCTTGCTGCGTCATAACAACGCATCTGCACTTGTAGTAGATTTTCTGGCTAGTGAACACATCCAGGAGGTTATTCACCCACCCTACAGTCCAGCGCTGGCTCCATGTGACTATCTGTGTCCCCAAATGTCAAGCGCATAGTGCGTGAAATCTGCCACCAGTCTTGAGAAGCGGCAGTGGTGACCTTTATTGAGCTGCTTGAAGGGTTTCCCGATTCGGTAAGGTCTAGCTACTTCTCCAAATGCTTTGAGCGCATGAACACTGGTGCAGAGCACTTCGAGAAAATATAATGCTTATTTTGTTAAAAAATAAAACTGTTTTGTATGCAGAAACTCATTGCTCTACCCGCATATTTAAGGATGATTATGAGGTCCTCTGCAAAACACTGACCTCTCTGTTGGAACTGATCCAAAAGGAAGAGACTAACTTACCTAATTTGAATGAATGGATTATAGTGGCAATATCAAAGAAAGGCAGTCGCACAGACTGTGATAACCAAAGGGTTATTAGCCTAACACCATTTGTGACAAAATAACTGGCCTCACTGACGAATAAGAACCCCGGATTAGGCAAAAGCAGGTTGGTTTCCGCCCAGGACAGGGCTGTATAGACCACATACTCACTTTGCTGCAGGTAGTAAAGCAGCGTCACGCACACCGCAGACCGAGAATAGCTGTGTTTCTCGATTTCACGAGTGCGTTCGTTTCAGTCGATGGATACATTCTGTTCGAAATACTTGTGCGCAAAGGTCTTCCCATGAAATATATTCGAACACTACAGACTGCGTCAAGGTCTATGGTGATTTATCGGATGTCTTTCCCACAACAAGTGGCGTTCGTCGGGGTTGCCAAATTTCTCCATCTTAGTTCAACTGTGTAGTTGACTTAATCATGGAGTGTCTCCTTTCGGAATCTTGCGATGCAGACATTGAGGTACTGCCTGGTGGAACGCTTGTTTTTCTTGATTATGCGGACGATATTCTCTTGCTTTTTAACGATGTTCCGATGGCGCAATCAACCCTGAATAACCTATCTGGAGTGGTCGCACCATTTGGTATGCGGTTCGCACCCTCAAAGTACAAAGTGCTTCTGCAGTGCCATCAGCTACTTGATGATCTTTTAACCCTTGATAGCGAAGAACTCGAGTTAGTTGATCACTTCACTTATCTTGGTTGCTGCATTGGCAACGATAGGCGCATAGCAACCGAAACCATTTCACGCATTGCAAAAACTAGAACTACTTTCTTGATTCGACAACCTCTGTGGAGTCAGAACCGGATTTCCCTTCGTCTGAGAGACCGTGTTTGTAAGGCTACAGTGAGAGCCGTCCTAGTCTATGGTAGTGAAACTTGGCTCTCTCGGTCTGAGGAGATGAGGCGCCTACAAATTTTTTTTAATCATCGGTGCATGCAAAGCACCGCTGGTGTCGGATGATACCAGCGTGTTCGCAACTATGATATGCGTAGGCGAGTACTAGCATTGATAAGCAAGCTAGTTCCTTGGAACAACAGATACCACAGAATAATTTGGTTTGGCTTGGGCACGTACTACGTCTGTTCGGTCACCTCTTACTGAAGGGGCCGTGGTTTGTTTGCCAGATGTCGAATGGTGCAAGGTTCGAGGTTTCAGAAATTAGCTTATCAGCTGGAAATGGAAATACTGAATGGGTAACGTCGGTTCGTCTCGCCATCCATGTTGGAGTTTCCTTGACTTGCCCTGTGCTCTGTTCGAGACGTTACAAGACATGACTCGTAGTCTGCATCAGTGGTGTTTCAACTCTCGTCTCTTAGTCGGACTGCCATGATGAACGGAAGCAGGCCGTCTTAACTTACAAGCTAACTGGGGTATAGTGCGGCTTCTGCTGCACTGCCATGCAGGTTGCTACCATTGGAGAGCACGGTGCATAGCTTGCAGAAGTCACGATTTCTACTACGTAGCATCTGTATAGGACAGGGAGCATTTTTACTGCTAATGGATAAGAGGATTTTTTGGTGAAATTTTAATGATCCGTCCCAGCAGCGCACAAACCAAATAGTCTAAACAATAATCCGGAAGAGCAACAAATGGCCGTTTCGCCCTATTTTGGATCGTCAGTAGAGCGCATCCCCTCCGCCGTCTGGTGCTTTTTCTAAGTGGTGGCTTCTGAGATGATGTGACGAATCAGTTTCTGAATTCATCGTTTTTTGTCACCTCGAATGAGTTTCCGTGAATATACACACATGTGTGGGTCGGTTTCCAAGTTCCACCGTAGTTGCTCTTCAGCCTGTGAGCGTGGTACCTTTCTGTTGTCTCAGTGGGTGCACCCGGCGGTTGCAGCTCACTCTGCCGAATTGTCTCGGTTTCTTATCTGTGTTGTTATGCTGGTCGATTTGGCTTTTTGTTGGATACATCTGTTGACATCGTTAGAAGCCGACCTCAATGGCATTTCTGTTCTGAGTTTCTTTGTCCCTCCTCTCGCTTAGCCTGCTCCTCCTCTCATTTAGTAAGCATAATATAACACCATTTTTGCGCACAATAGTCGGCTGTTAGCTCTCCAGAACGATGTCCATCCGTTACTGGTGACTCAGTTGGCGTGACTCCTTTTCACGTTTTTTTTCTTTTTTATTGCGGCACAGTATCTCAGGTGTTTTCCACCTGCAGCTAACGTTCAGCTGCTCACCGCACATTGGTACTTGTATCTTCACCCTTTGTCTTCGCTAATACAAACCACTTTTGATACTCCGATGAACTCATTGTGCTCACTCGAAAACATGACCCCACTACATGTGAACTTGATCTTCGGATAGGATGGACACCAGTTATCTCAAAGTCGTTTAAAATATGTAGTCGTTTTACAGCCTGCTATACTGTCCATAGTCTTGTGAAATGAATGAGAACGTTCCTTTGCATCACGCACCTTGGAACCTCATCTCCGTCTAGACTTGCGGTGGAAGAATGGGGTACACTTTCGCATTGTCAGACGATGTCTGTTTCTGCTTTCAACCTGTTACCTGCGCATAAGATCCAGAGACTTTGTGTTCTGGTATTTAACTCATCATTGGATCATCGAGAGCCACTTAAGTACATGCGGTCTTCAGCGCATAAGTTGTGTTAATTTATTCATCCCACATTCTTAGTGTTTCTGCAGTTACTCGTTGTCTGGCGTCACGATTCCGATGTACCATTACTTGTTTCTTAAACTTATGTAGACGATCAGCCTGGATCGACACGTTCATCCTTTCATCTACGCTCTAACATGCTTTGCTTTCTCTAAATCTGTTTTGCACCCACTCACGTATCTAACTATTGAATTTGTTTCTGGAAGGTTGAAGGCTCTGTTGTTTCCATCTGCTATTTCCGTGTCATCCAACCAAATTGTTCCCCGGCTCACCGTGTATTGCTGTATATATGGAATCTAACTTTCCAGTCCCTTCTTCCATTCATTCGAATTTCTTTTAACTTCTTTATAAAGTCTATTATTATCTGAAACTATTAAAAGGACAACAATCCTCGTTCCATTCTCTCCTCTCTATAATTTCCACTCTTATCACAGAAGCCTCGGTTGCGAATTCCGCTGCCAACGGAATGGTTGGATCTTCAGTCTACGGATTCGCCTTACGATAGTTTCAGTCAGCACCAACTGTCTGAGCTTCATCCAGTCGATTCGGGACACATTAGCGATGAAACCGTCTCTCCTAAACATTACGATCTTGTATACCAGTCGTCAGTCGCCGATGAGAAACGCACAGCTACTCCGTCTCCCGACTCATCACTCGCTGAACCCGATGTTGCTTCCAGATTGGCTGAAGTACGCACCGTATCATGTACATTCGTAACACTCGGCTAGTCCAAGCATATCTTCTAGCCCTGCTTGCTTCTTTTCCGTTCTGTCTACCTGTACCACTATTTGGCGTGCGCACTCCTCATCACATTTATGCACAATCTGGATCAACGACGTCACTGCTTGTCGGCCATCGACCCACCTGTTCGTTTCCGCATTTGTTTGGTGACTGTGCCGACTAGATCCAGTTCGATAGCCGTTGCCTCATACAACTGAACTCTTCATCCGGTCTCTGTTGGATTTCGGCGCGTTTTTATTCTTTATATCCATTTCAGCAGTGCGCGGTAAATCAGCGCACTTACTCTGTCATCCTTTCGTCTAATTCTACATAGCACTCCACCTTTGGTTTGTGTATCAACTTCCTCAACTCACGGCCGAATCGTTACCTGCTTGTAAAAGAGTTTTCTAATGTATTCCCATGTTTGTCTCTTCGTAAAGATCGCGTACAGTGCTCGCGGCATACATTTGACACTTTTAACCCTATGAATTTTAGTGCTAAGCACATGCTGACTTCCGTGATATACGTTGAAAGGCATCAACAGTACAGCAGTAGGCAGTACGGACGCTTCGCAGTCGCGCAACCACCACCGGTCGCATGTGGGCTAAGGATACTGCGAGGGACGCTCTGCCCGTACGCAGGCTCGAACCCACGCCGTGAGATTACGGACCGGTCCGTAGTCTAAATGTGTCGGTCGGTGGGCGAGTGGTCTGGGCGCCTGCCTTGCAGTCATAAGCTTGCCGTTTCGAGTCCGCGTAGTTTTGGGTGCCCTCGCGGCATACTCAGCCTACGCGCGACTGGTTGTGTTCGCGTGGCAGTAAAGCGCCATTACGGCGTACAGCTGGAATTTTATTTTGGCCTACAGGTAAAAAGCTTGTCTTGTAATTTGACGGTGCGGGTTCCAGCTGCGTTGGGGTAGGGCACTCCTCGCAGTATCCTTAGCCCACCTGCGACCGGTGGTGATGGTTGCGCAGCAGCGAAGCGTCGGTACTGCGTATCGGTGTATTGCTGATGCCCTTTGGTGACATATCTTACGGGGGTTGGTGTGTTGTTTGTGTCAGATGAGCTATGACTACCGCCTTGGTAATGGTGACGTGCGACCCGTTCTACAGACAATGTCAGGCGGCGGGAACTAGGACGGTACATTTGCCAAATGATAACGCAGGTGTCCCAGGTTGAGCTCAGCCAAGGCGGAGACCTGGCGTGGAGCAAAAGAGCAAAAGCTTACCTGATCTTAAGCCAGCCCGTCTCCTTAATTATCACAATCCTACCTTGTAATCTGAATTCGCGGGTCGGATCCTGCGGGTGGCCGTCACAGTATCCTTAGCCCACGTTCGGCTAGTGGGGATTGCGCGGTGGCGAGCCTTCGGTACTGTCTTCCGGCTTAGTGTCAATGCCTTTTTTCTCTTTAACCATGTACATCGACCCGAAACTAAGCCACTATTAAAATTCACGCACAATAATGTGCCTCGACGGGGAATCGAACCTCGGTCCACGGATTTCCGGTCCGCTGCTCTACCACTGAGCTACCGAGGGCTGACGATTAGGTGCGCAAATTTTAATACATGACTTCTGCTTGGTGCGCCACGTATTGCCAATGAGCTCACAGTACCTGTCCTGGTGTTGCACATTGGCTCACTCACCCGTCACTTCCCAATGGACCGAAGTACCTGTCCTTCGGATGTCCAATGGGCGATGGTAGATTAATTTTGGATGTTTGCGAGTAGTGTAAAGTTTGTAGAAATTAGAAGTCACGATTAAAGAACAGGTACTTTGGTCCATTGTGAAGTGACGGGTGAGTGAGCCAATGTGCAACACCAGGACAGGTACTGTGAGCTCATTGGCAATACGTGGCGCACCAAGCAGAAGTCATGTATTAAAATTTGCGCACCTAATCGTCAGCCCTCGGTAGCTCAGTGGTAGAGCAGCGGACCGGAAATCCGTGGACCGAGGTTCGATTCCCCGTCGAGGCACATTATTGTGCGTGAATTTTAATCGTGACTTCTACTTTCTACAAACTTTACACTACTCACAAACATCCAAAATTAAGCCACTATTGTCCTTATTCTCGGTAATCTGAAATGTAGCCTTGTTCTTTGTCGATCGTACCAATTTCAGGCAACACCGGTGTAGTTGGAGTGTTCCCCATGGTTGTCTTGACTTGTGGGTTCCTGAAGCGTCCTTATGACCGTTCGCCACATATAAGACAAGGGCGAAGTCATTATAAGTGTTGGGCCTATACACACTTGGGAAATTGGTCAACTTTTTTTCCCTGGCGAATTTCTTTGGACTTTGGTTTTATCATCAGTCATTTATGCCACGTTCTCCACTGGATATCGTGGCCGATATCACACCAACTGTTCCACCAGTTCTGAACGCACGCTTTGCCCGCTGTCACCTTTCCTCTTCAACTTCGCTATTGATGAAGTCATGGAAACAGCGTTCGCTGGACACGACCTAGAAGGTGTGGAGCTACTCCCTGGTGAGCGACTTCTTGACTTGGAGTATGCAGACGATATTGCCCTAATCTGTGACAGCTCCCAAACATGCCAAACAGCACTGAACCGATTAGCGCTGGCTGTCAGTCGTTTTGGGCTATGCTTTGCTCCATCAAAATGCAAAGTACTTCTCCAAGATTGGCAGGGACCCAACCCTGCGCTAACGCTTGCTGGTGATCTGCTAGAAGTCGTTCTGGAATTCAAGTACCTGGGCAGCTATATTAGCACCCGTGGGATTGAAGATGAGGTTACGAACCGTATAGCAAAAGCTCGAGGTGCTTTTGCCAATCTCCGCCACCTGTGGCGCAGACGCGACATTACTCTCGCCCTCAAGGGCAGAGTTTACAACGCAGCCGTCCGTTCAACTCTCCTATATGGCTGTGAAACCTGGCCCATCAGGTCGACAGACATAAAGGAGCTCGTCACGTTCGATCATCGCTGCCTTCGCAGCTTAGCTCATGTTTGGTGGGAACACCGCGTGAGCAATGAGGGTGTTCGGCGTCGCGTATTTGGTGCAGGAAGAGCGAGTGAACCGCTCAGCACGATTATATCACGCACCAGGCTCCGATGGCTGGGCCACGTGTTGCGCATGCCAGCACACCGACTCCCACGACGTGCATTGTTTGCGCGTTGTGGGTACGGTTGGAAGAGGAGGAGGGGAGGCCAAGTGATGACTTGGTCGCGAGAAATGAAAACCCTTACTTCGAAGTAAGCGTCGGTTGGTGCATCCCGACTGCCTGGCTGGGGTCCTAAGGACGGTGAACACGTTTGGTTGGACACACTTGCTGATATGGCTAGGAGCCGGCCCCAATGGCGTTTGTGTTGTGAGTTCCTTTGTCCATCCCCCTCCTGTTTAGCATCCCCCTCCAATCACGATCTTTATCGTTAGGCATAATATGACTTTCTTTTACGGCAGCCAGCTGTTAGCTCTCCGGAACGATGTCCATCCGTTACTGGGGACTCAGCGGGCGTGCCACTGTTTGTTTTTTTCTTTTTTTACCTTTTGTATTGCGGCACAATAGCTGAGGTGTTTTCCACCTCCAGCTAACGTGTAATGATGATGATGATGAACGCACGCTTAGCCATTTACTTGTTGGTTTACATCTACGATTATCCATCGATAGCGATGTTGAAGAGGAACAATGAGAAGACGAATTTCAGCACATGCGTCGTGTATTTCGTATCTTACCGTCGTTTCTGATGTCGATGGCTTGAAGTTGCCTGCAACCCTTAGACAGAGCAAATAAACACTTAAGCAAATGGCAAGAAAATTAAGAGTCTCGCTCCATACGTCCAGAGCAACTGGAGCTGGACGATTAGTTAGTTTTGTATGCAAAGCACTAGTGTGACCCGGTTTTAATAGTGGTGGTTTTGATGAAACAGAATGAACATGGTTTGATAAAATACACAGCCACTATTTGAACACTGTGTTGTGCATTTCTCGTGTTGGGTTAACTGCTTTGTACATGGATTGGCACGCGAGGTCAGCTTAGATCGCGATATATATATATATATATATATATATATATATATATATATATTCAACTGCCTACGATCTTTGTGTTTAGCGCCGTATTGATGGTGGTTTGTTGAACATCCGTCGTTTCGGTGCGCGAAATCTAGTCTGTGGGACGACTATCCGTATGTTGCTTTTTGCTGGCGACTGTGCGTTGTTTGCACACAGCGCGGATGAGTTGCAGCACATAACTGGTGCTCTGGCTTCGACAGCGGCCAAATTCGGGCTCACCATCAACACAAGCAAAACTGAGTGTTCGCTGAGCTCGGCAGGTTGACTGCAAATGTTTCGTCACCACTCGAGGTGACATCGTCAGTGCGCGTGTACTTAGCAGAGTGGTGCGTACGAGATGTCCGTGAGTGGGAGTGATCGATCTCCTAGCCGCTAGTCTGAGTTTGGGTTGTTCGATAAGCACATGACCATCGAAATCGATCTCCGATTCTCACCTCGTAGTGTACGCTCACGTGACTCTTCGGTTGTCGTCGTTTGATGCACTAGTCTGGCGTTCCGTTCCGTTACATTTATTCTACTAATTCGGTGATTTTTCATCCGTAGTGCTACGGAGATCGATCACTTACACTCACGGACATTTCGTACGTGCCACTCTGCTAATTACACGCGCACTGACGATGTCACCTCGAGTGGTGACGAAACGTTTGCAGTCAACCTGCCGAGCTCAGCGAACACTCAGTCCACCAGCTGAACAACCTGAGCTACCAACATTTGCCTCCATATCACAAGCAAAACTGTCTCAGTCAGCGTTCACCGGAGGTGCAATCAACAATGAGGCCGCGAATCAGCCTTGGTGCTGAAGTATTGGAAACCACCTCCCGCTTCAGCTACCTTGGGAATGTGATGTCTACTGATCACCAGCTACACAGTGACGTTCGTATCCGCGTGTCGTAGGCAGCGGCGGAATTCGGGAGGCTAGAGTACCGAGTGTGTAACAACCATC